GTCAGAGTTTCCTAAATTTTCCAAAAATAAAATATTTAGGTGGCGACTCTGTATCTGGCAAAGCCGTCCATGTTGGGCACTTCTTTAAAAAAAAATCTGTTTTCAAAAACGATTTGTCAGGTTTGGACTCTTTGACAATTCATCGGTCTTGCATTGCACTCTGTGAGATTTGATACAAGACCGTAACATTTGAGTCCTGAACTGTAGTGAACAAAACGGGATTTCCCTCCCGGGACGTTTGGGGACGTCTACACCAGGCGATATTGGATGTGCAGTTCATTCAGAGAAGTTCCGCTTAAGATTGATTATGTTTTGTGCATCTATCGCACATGTTCTTTTTTGTGTATCTATCACACATGTTCACTTTGTGCATCTATCACACATGTTCACTTTGTGTATATATCGCATTTAATCTTGTGTGCCCTGGGCATTGTTGTCCTTTCTCCTCACGCGCGCGGTATGTTAGGCCCTCTTTGGTTAAGAGCATTTGGAACGTGTTCCAATGCTTATACCACTCATTTGGTTGGAAACGCCGGGATGTGTCCCTATGTTTCCCCCTCTTTGGTTAAGAGCATTTGGAACATGTTTCAATGCTTATGCCACTCCGAAACACTGGGGCGTGTCCCTATGTTTCTCCCTCTTTGGTTAAGAGCATTCGGAACGTGTTCCAATGCTTATACCACCCCGAAACACTGGGGTGTGTCCCTATGTTTCTCCCTCTTTGGTTAAGAGCATTTGGAACGTGTTCCAATGCTTATACCACTCCGAAACACTAGGACGTATCCCTATGTTTCGCCCTCTTTGGTTAAGAGCATTTGAAACATGTTCCAATGCTTATACCACTCTTTTTCCGTCCACGTGCAACGCGTTGGAATCTTGTTTAAAACCTCGGGTGTGCCCAACGGTCACTTTTAGTCTTTCCTGCGTGAGCCGTAGTTAAGATTGCTTTTTTTTCTTGCGTCCTTTCTGTGTGAAATGTAGTTTGACTTGTGAGTCTCGCGCGTACCGTGTTTGTATGTTTGTGTTTCTCATGTGTGAGATGATCTTATCGGTTTACTTCAAATGTTGTGTTTACTTTGCATAACATTTGCATTCAAATGCTTCATTACAGCTTTCTTTGCATGATCATAAGTTATGCTCTTGCATCGTGCATGTTCATTTGCATTTTTCCCTGGCCTGAGGGCATATCTATTTTATGTCTTGCCTGTTTGTCTAAGTCTTCGACCTTGTCAAAAACGGGTCGTCTCTGAGCTTTGACATTCACTCCCGTCATTTCATGACTTTCGAGTTCTGTCAAAGACGGGCAACTATAGACACCCCATTTTTGACCGCCCTTAAGACTTGGGCGCTACTAATTGTTTACTTGGTGATGAAAGATGTGCAGTGCAAAGGATCGATTTCTTTGGTAAGGAGAGAGTCAAATCCCAACTTCATACCCCTTTTTGGACCAAAACGATCTTGATCTAAAGATTTCAGACCTTGAAACCCTCTCTTTCAAAATGGTTTTTAAAAAAGTTCCTACGATGTTCCGACACTCGCATTTTGTTAAATGCTGCCTTTTTGGTAAACCGAGCAAGGACAAAGTGGAAATGAATGACAGAGAGGTGAAATCCTTGAAAAATCTTTCAAAACACCTTGTTTAGGGGTTTGGAGTTGAAGAAAAGAGGAGAGGAGAGAAGAAACCAAGTTGGAGAAACAGTTTGGCATGAATCCCGGCAGGATCGAAACTGAACAGTTTTCACTCAAACAAGCATAACTTTTTGCACACTTGTAATTTTGATGTAAGGCTTCCACAATTGGGGAGAAGACTTCTAGGGCTTCAATTTAGGCTCAAGAATGACCTACAAATGAGTCCAGATGAGGGAGTTATGTCCGGTTGAAGTCGAGCCCGAAAAGCAGATTTTTCTGTCCAACCAGAGATGAAAGTTTATGACCATGAATGGCCAAGGCCGGCCCCTTGCCATCCAATGGTGTCCCATGTCGGCCAACAATGGTCAAGTGCCGGCCATCAATGGTCATGTGCCGGCCATTGATGGCAGAAAGCAGTTTTTGGTAGATATTTTGCTCCAACTTGTTACAGCTGTCTCTCTTGAGATATTTTCGACCAAAAGCTTGTATTTTTCTATATATTGAAGCCTTATATCTCATATTCAAGGGTTAGAACATTTTAGGAAGAGTTTTGAGAGCCTCTCTCTCTACACTTCTCTCTCTACTTTTCTCTCTCTCAAGAACCTTTGTGCATAGGAGCTTGCAAGTGTATACACTATCCCTTGGCCTATCAACCCTTGATTAAAGTTGTTGATCTTTGAGCTGAGGTTCTACAAGGCCTTCTTGGAGCTCCTTAAGGTGGTTTTGACTTGGTTTTGTGGCCTAAAGTATGCTTAGCTTCAAGAGGTAAAACTTTCACCCTTTAAGCTTGTCTTTCACACTTGCTTTGCCATCTCTTTCCACCATTTCAAGGCTGGTTTTCAACTGTAAAAACTATGATTTTGGTGGTTTAAGCCTTGTTTGGCTAGGGGGTGTTTCCTCCTTTTTGCTCATTGGCTTGTAAGGCCCTTTTGAGCTATCTTTCAAGCTTTTCAAACAACTTCTTTTTTGCCTTAAAACCACTAAATTCCAGAGGAATTGCAGTGGTGAAAAACTTGTTTTGAGGTCCCAAATAGGAAGGGATGGTCCCCCCCTCCTCTTGTCTTGTTAGCATGAGTTGTTGGCCTACCAAATGAGCATGTGTTTCTATCCTCTTGAGACTTAGTTTGAGCATATTTTTGTGACTTTTTTGACCTGCCATAACTCTGTTTTTGGCTGGTTTGATCACCTCTTGCATGTTTCTTGCACTTGTAGTGTAATCCTACTTGTTAGCCTTGCATGCTTAGCATTTTAGCCTATTGTTCTAGCTTGTTTTGGCTATATTTCAGCATGCTTTTGGCCTTGTTTTAGCATGCTTAAACTCTGTTCCAAGTGGTCTTGGTCATGTATGGCTTGCCTTGTAGGGGCTATAGTGTAATTAGCTTTGCTAGTCTTGTGTTTTGAGACCCCTAGCATGCATTATTTGTGATGTTTGTGTGATATGCAATCATTTGATATGTAATTTCAGAGCATAAACTTTTGTCATACTCTCATGTTTATCACTCTTTCAATGTTTTTGAGAAGTTGAGCCGCATGCCTTGTTTGTGAGCCAATACATGAGCCTATCTTTCTTGCCATCTATGCTGCAAGTCTAGCATGTTTTTGCTACTATTTCGACCTGCCTTAGGTCTATTTTGAATGGTCAAGGTCATTTGAGCATTGCTTAGTATGGTTGTAGTGTAAAGGGCCTTGATTAGCTTTGAGTTTAGAGGCCTTTAACATGTTATGCATGTGATGTTTGCATGGTATGGCACCATTTAGCATGTAATTTCAGTGCATATAGTGTAGTCACACTCTTATATACTTCACCTCTTCATAGCTTTTGAGGGTTGTGTATTATGCCTTGCTTATAGACCAACATGTGTGCATGTTCCTCTAGCATTTTGAGCTTCATTTCCAACATGTTTAGGCCATTGTTTTGGCATGATTAAGCTCTGTTCATAGCTGATTTGGTTGTTTGAGCCTTGTATGGCATGCTTCTAGTGTTGTTTCCTTCACTTGTTTCACTACTTAGGTCTCTAAACATGTCTTGCATGCATTGCTTACATGATGGAGTCTTGTGCATGCCACTTTAGCTTTGAAAGATAGCATGTTGTTTGCATAGCATGTTGTTTGCGTTGCATCATGTTCAACCGGACGTTATGTTGAACATAAGGTTGATTGGTCCACTTCATACTCAAAGTGATGAAAGTGAGCCAATCTTCCTTGGTCTCTATTGCCTTTGATCATCCATGATGAGGTAGTGGATTTAGAGTCTTGTTTGCATTGCATTTATTCAATGTGTGCAAGATTGGATCTTTGGCCATCATGCATTCCAAATGCTTGATTGATGGTTTTGGATCCAATGGTGTCCCTCCCTTGATGTTTTGAGATGATAAGGAGTGGCATAGTACATACATATCCTTGGGAGACCCTCCATTTTCTCTATCTTGTGCTCTGTTGTAGTTTGGTGTCACAGCACACCAGTGGCCGGCAGTGCCACATTGATGGCCGACACCCTTTCATCCTTGGCTGGCAGTGGTCCATCTTTGGCCGGCAGGTGGCCGACAGTAGCTCCTCATGGCCGGCAGGCCAATGGTGCACTCCCTAGCCTTGATTTGGTAAGGTTCAACAGAAAGATCGTGGAGACACCTTGCAAACAGAGCCTTTAAAGAGCAAATCGGAGAGCTTTTCGAGGTGAGAAATTGAATGCGTGCATGCATGTTCAACATCTTCAAACAGAGCTGGAGCAGCTTAGTTTAAAGCTTTATTTGTTAATTAGCTTGAGTTTGTAATTTAATTAATTTGTTAATTAGTTAATTGTTGTAATAATTATTTGTAGCTAGTTATTCAATTTGGTTGTGTAATAATTAGTCTAATTAGCTTAATTAGATTAGTTAGTTTAGCTTAGCTTAGATTAGCTTAGCTTTATTCGGACCCTCCTTCACAAGGGCGTATTGTTGTAATAAGAGTGCGTGCTTGTGTGCATGTCTTCCAACCCCATTTCTTTCTCCCTTTTACTTATCAGCTTTTGATGGTTAGTTTATGGCATATTTCAATTAGCATACCTTCTGCTATACATGTTTGCATCATTCATTTGTATTTCATGCACCGGGCTTGGCGCATCATTCAAACTGCATTGTATTTCAATACCTATTTGAATACGTGTTTAACAGCATGTTATCAAATCGAATCGTATGACATGATTAGATAGCCGAGCCTATTTAGTTGCATTTTGCATGTGTTGCATTAGGCATTGTTAACATAGCTAGGATCATGCATTGATTTTTAACTATTTTTTTTTTTTTTTTTTTTTTTGGCTTAGATATCAAATACAAAATGAGACATATAGTGAGTCAGGTGTCTCATTCTGTATTTGGTCCTCGTCTGTGCTCTTAGATTGGTTGACTTTCTGTGGGTAATAATGGGTCTGTGACTAGTGAGTTGAATTTGTGCTGCAATTTGCAAACATGGACAAGTGAAAGATAAAGGTAGTAGGATACAATCATATACACACAATACATACCTCTGAAAGTGTACTAGAGTTAGAAGAAGTTGCTTTGTTCTTTGCATGTGCAACTTCAAAACCTGTCTTACTCAACCCTGTGGACATGAAGAACTAACAAAGCAAATTCAACTTACAAACCTCTGTGTGTGTGTATTCTATTAATAATAGTTTCCAAATCAATCACTATTCTTTGAACTTGGGTAATAAAATAACATGAAAACCATAAAAATCTTTGGGAAATTGTGATGTTAAGTCATGAATGATGGACCTGGTTCTTTTCTTTGAAGAGTAGTGATATCACATAACTTGCCTTGAGATAATGAGTCTAGAATGCGGCGGCGTTTTTGGCGTTCCCTGGCTTTGTGATTCTGAAACCAGTAGAACACATTCTTGCCTTCAATCTTACCGTACTGGCGAAGCTTTGCAGCAATTTGTTGGATTTGGTCAGCGGATGGTGTTCGTATTCCGCCTTCATACATTTCCTCGAGGGCACGTAGTTGGTCTGGAGTTGGATTCCACCTTGCACTCACCAATGCCACTGTGGTATTAATATCTGCCTTGCTTTGCTCCTTCATGGTAGCTGTTAGAATTTATGCAACAAAATAACACAAATGAATTAGAAATTAAAATAGCAAGCATAAAGAGTAAAATCATGTAGAATAACACAGTAAAATGGAGACAAAAAATAAAAGAGAGAGAAAATGATATACCCACCCATTTGGTCATTCAATGAAAAAAGATTGGTTTTGTGAAGACAAGTGCAATAAGAAGAAGGGTTTGGCATTGCAGAAAATGTGGTGTTTGTGGTTGGCTTTGGTATGAGAGGACGAAGTTTTCGACTATTGATTGAATCAGATTCAGACCTGTTGAAGTTGAAGTTGAACTTACTACTACAACAATCACTACTACAACCCATCATCCACATAGCTACCAAATACCAATGTCTCTCTATCTCTTTGTGAGTAGTGGGTTCTATGTTTTATTTCTGTGCACTGAGCACTGTTGTTTTACAAATGTGATAATATTGGTGGTAATGAAATCGGTTTTACACTAACTACAAAGTATTTCTTTTTTGGATTGGGAGAGGGAGGGGAGAGTGGATAGGAGATAGGATCTAGGAAGTACTCGAACTCGGGTGTTGTTGAGTTTGACTAACCCTAACAGTAGGTGCCTTTTTCAGCCCTTGCTTTGCTCTACATGTAAAGATTGAATGTGAAAGTATTATTTTGAGTTTAGAGTTTGAGAGGGGGGGAAAGTAAAAACAAATCGGGTGTTTGGGAGGTTGGTTATTTTAGTAAGTTATTTTAGTTTTTAACTATTTTAATAGGTTAAAATTTTTGTTTGAGAAGATGATTGGATTTTTTTTTTTTTTTTTTGTAATTGGATGTATATTTGTGAGAGAAAAAATGAATTGATTATGAGTTTAACGTGACATTTTATCTTATTAACTATTTTAACCTATTTTATTTTATTTTTTTATGAATTTTTGCCCCAAAAAAAAATAAAAAGCTTTCCCCAAACAAGGCCAAAGTAAGGGCCAATGGGACGGGAGAGCAATGAAAAGAGAGAATAGTTCTTGTTTCAAAGACAAGGATGAAAAAGAGAACGAGAACAGTAGGATTGATCACAATCTAGATGAGAGAGAGAGAGAGAGAGAAAAAAGAGGACAAAGGAAAGCTAAGGGGAGGCAAGGCAAGGGAGTGTAAGGAAGGA